CAGCACGCAGCACCTACAGCCCCACAGCAAGCTCCGTCTGAAGTCCAACAACCGCCTGGAACAAGTGTAGCTCAGCAGCCCGTGGTAGCTCCACAGCAAGTTCATCTACCAGATCTTCGTCACCCACCTCTGCGCCTGGAATCACCAAGGCGACCGAGGCAATCAATGACTTCGGAATCCCAGCCGCAGCCTCCAGGACCTCAGCAGAGTGTGTTTACGACTACGTCAGCGCAACAAGTTGCTCAGAGCAGTTTCCCGGAACCTATCCCTTCTTCCGAGAGTTTTGTGTCTGCGCACAGTCATGAGGTTCGTGAAGGCAGCGCGCGAGGGGTTTGGATGAGTTTTGGAGAGATCTTCCAGAGAAGAGTGTTGAACCCGGTGATGAATGTTGGAAGAACTGTGACAGGGGCTACAGGGCCTTCTGAGACATCGCAGCAGGGATCTTTGATGTCCTCGGATCTGCAAAGGGCTATGGCAATGCATGCGGCAAGGTCTTCACTTATTAGTCCACAGCATCGTAGGCAAGAAGAAGAGGCCTCGTCCACAAGCCTGAATCAGGAAATGGTGATGGAGGAGGTGAAGAAACAGGTCGCTATGGCAATGCATGGGAGAGACAAGGAGTTGGCGACCCTCAAGGAACGGAACCAAGATTTGGAGCGGGCGTTGTCAGAGGCAAACACGGCAATGAGGGCAATTGGATCTGGAGTGACGTCAGGCAGGCCACCGAGAGCCGAGGAGATTGCTCATGGTGATCCTCCCGGAGGTGCAGTAGCTTCAGCAGGATGTCAAGGGGCTCCAGGTCTAGGGCAAAGAAGTCCTGAAGTATCTCAAGGTGAACTTCGACAAGCTGGAGGGGGTGAACCTCGCACAACGGCAGGAGTCGGAGCACCTTTGGGAGCTGTTCTTGAAGGCGGTGGAGACTCACGAGGAGATCAGGGAGCGGGAAGCTTTCCTGGTGAAGTTCCCCGGAGGTCATCGACTGAGAGGGCGGCGGATGATGCGAACATCGAGCCTCTACATCTTCTTGCACAGGGGATGAGGCAGCTCCAGCAGGTCTACATGGGAAAGACGGATTCCAAGGATGTGGACTTGAAAATCGGGAACTTGGAGCTCCCAACGATGCCCGATTTCGGGCCTGAGGCTGCGGTAGCCTACAGCGACTGGCTCTACGAAGTGGAGCAAGCAGTGGGAGGGCTCAGTGACAAGGC